TAGTAGTAGTAGCAGCAGTAGTAGTAGCAGTAGCAGTAGCAGTAGCAGTAGCAGTAGCAGTAGCAGTAGCAGCAAGATAAGTAGAATTAGTAATAATAGTAGTAAAGAAGTAATACTAGTTCTAGTAAGACTACGAGGAAGAAAAATAGTAGCCTCTCGTAAGCGGTTCCCCAGCAGGTATGGGTCCCGACCGGGCTTTGCCGAACAGGAACGGGCAGAGAGGCTAGTAATAGAGGTAGTAATATAATATACAACAGTAGTGCTGGTGATAGCAACAGTAATAGTAATAGCAACAGTTCTTAGTAGCAGTAGTAGCAGTAGTTTTTCAGTAGTAGCAGTAGTAGCAGTAGTAGCAGCCAGCACTGATCATTTGCAATTCCTGCAGCACTTTGGCAGATTATGTTGCGCAGGAATCCATTCATTACAGTTGATTCCTCTTTCCAATTTGATTTTCAATTCGCGAAAATCATTTTCGGAACCCCCGGAAGCTGACAAAATAACTTTTTTGAGAATGTGGAACCGGTTCGGTTCCATTCGGTTTGCGTAAGAATAATTGGCGGTTCGGTTCGTGCCCATTCGGTTTGCGTAAGAATAATTGGCGGTTCGGTTCGTGCCGGTTCTTAGCCTGCCGGTTCCTGAACGGTTCGGTTCCCGGTTCACGGTTCGTTTCCTAAGCCATACTGATAACTGTACATAATGAATGTATTGATATTTCCCCCAGCGAGGCTAAAAGATTTGTTCGGCATTTGGACACCTGTCTTCTTTCAGCTTCCAAGATTTCGCAGCTGCAGGTTGCTTCTTCAAAACAAAGCCAGCCCTCTGGTGCGCTCTCACACCAAATGGGAGTCCTCTGCCTCAGCTGGGATCGCCATGCTTCGCCAATCCCATGATTTCATCGTGATTGGTGCCGCAGATGCCCTTTCGGTCGAAGTGGTTGCCATTGTTTTGAGATCTTTTGAGTATCAGTATCATAAACTCCTGCTCTTGAAGGGTATCCTGGGTGCCAGCCCGTGTCAGCAGATTTCCAAAGCCTTCGTGGCACTTCGTGGCTCCCAGGATCTTTGAGAAGGGTATGACACCTCTACAAGCCGCGCCTTCCTCAGCATCGCAGCATCACCGATCCCATGGCGAGGAAAGGTCAACGATTTCCCAAGGTTCTGAAGAGCAAAGGCAAAGGGGCCTGGCTTCCCAGACACTTCAGGTCACACAGGTCACACAAGTCAGGTCTGCTCCAAAACTTAAAACATCAACCTATCCAGGAGAGAGAGAGAGAGAGAGAGAACTTGGGACTTCAGAATTCAAAGTATTCAAGTCAAGAACGAATCTCTTTAAAATACCTTTCAAACGCAGGAGTGCCAAAGCAACTTTCTGCAACCTGCAGATGAAGGCTGTGATGCTTTGTGCTCCACCTGCCTTTTGAGGACAATCGTATGGAAGCCATCCGAGATCTCTTGAAGCACTCTGAGGCGCAGCCCCAACCCGCTACAGCTAAAGTTTGACATGGACATTCCAAGTCTCCCAAGGGTCTACTGACTGGAATCTGGGACACTGTTTCAATGTGTTTCACTCCTTATCATTTTGCTCGCTCAAGAACATTGCGATCATTGGGTTCTCCTTCAAGATTTTCAAGTTTCAACTGTCTCTCTGGAGAATTGATGAAACACATCACTTTAGGATTCCAAGCCACTGCGTGCACCTTCCACGTGTGCCCAGGAATCCTCCGGTGAGGAAGTGCTGGGAACTCAATGGGGCAAACCTCAACCATCCACATCCAAAACAACGGGGAAACCAGGACTTTTTACTTTAGAGACAAAACACCAGAGCGGTGGGTTCCATTCAACTTGATGTTGCCTGGTTTGCAAGGGCCAAGAAGATGTCAGAAACTCAGCGCGGTTGGCAAATGGAGGTTCCTTTGACTGGCAGTGCTGTGAAGAGGAACTATGGGAACTATAGTTATGACTGGCTGTGACATGCATGGGAAAAAACACACAAAGTTTGATAGTGACAGTGACATGGTAAATAATGGTACGCAGACTCAAATGACGCGAGTGACAAAGTGGTTCGCAAAGATTGAGTTTTTTTTTTTTTTTAAATAGAATTATGTTTGAAAACAAACAAAGGAACGTTGAGCCTTTACAATCTGCCAAATTCATCCAACATTGGTGTTCCTCTGGTTTTTTTTTACCCATTCCCATGCGCCACAGGTCTGAGACGCGCAAACGAGCGTTGAGTTTCACTGGTCAGTTGCATCTTCCAGCTGGGCCCCAGCTGTGGATTCACAGGGAATCACTCAACAGTTCCTCCAAAAAAATGGAGTTTTCCGTGGTTTGTTCTCAAACTTACAGATACAGTGAGTAATTACATTAATGTAATTAAAACAAACAATGTTGATCCATTTTCAATCATTTTCACCAGGATTTTCCATGAAGTTCATCAAACATTGGGGTTTTCATCCATTTTCATCCATTTTCTGGAAATGTTTGAATTGGGTTTCTCATCCCACTGTTCATTTTCATCCATTTCTTGACCAAGGCGACGAACACTGAACAGCTGGGCATGGGCAGGGGCGGCATGTCTGAGTCGCTGGACATGGTCTCTGAGGATTGCGGCACGTCGGGAGTCCCTTTGAACGCTTTGAAGGGGTCTCTTTGGAAGCTCCTTTGAGGCTCCAGAATGGTGACTGTTGGTTCTTTTATGATAGTTGATGATATTTTGAATGATGTTTGATGTTGATGATGTTGTTTTTCTGCTTGGAATTAGGAAGAGATAGTGATCGGCTCATCTTTCTTAAGTGTGTTGGAAGGACCAACATACCCAGAAGCAGGGTGATTCTGAGTGGTTGCAGCAGTTGTCACAAATTAAACACGCCAGCACTTGCGTGGAAAATTGGACGAGGTTTGTGCAGAAATCCGTCGCCAGAGACTTGTGGACATGAAGCATCAGCACCATTTGACATCATGTTTGAAGTGAAATTGACGTCGATTTTGCTATGGACATATATAAACGCATAAACATCAAAACCCAACTTGAACAGCCAAATCAGCCAATAGATTCAATAGATAAAGGATAATGGATATTGTATTTATATATATATATACAGTTATATACATATATATATATATATATTTATATATATATATATATTTGCACATACACAAAGTCATGCACACATATACATTATCCATGTCATGACAGTTGGTGGTCCCCCAAATTTGTGACTTTCTACCAAGCTCCGCACTGAGGATGCAGCCACCTTCAGTCGCTTACGACGGCGGTTGGAGTCCCAGGAAGATGTTGGATCCGCAGCGAAGGGCACTCTGATTCTGTATGACTCCATCGTATGCAGTGGCAGTTGCCTTCGTTTGTAGTTCGCAGATACCACCAAGAGTACGTATATGTACAACTATTTATGTATGTATGTATATATAATCTATATACATATATATATATATATATGTGCACACACATATTTGTTTGACATCAGTTTCTCTGTAGGCAGTGTGTGCCAAGGTATACATACGTTTGCTCGATGGTGTCTTTCATTCAGACCGGAAGACACACATAGGGATAGAACTTCTTGGTGGGAAGTTCAATCCGATTTGTCGTCTTTCCCAACAGTAAAAAACCGCATGTTTCGGAATGTGGAGGACCGAAACATACAGAAACAAACCGAAAAAACGGTGCGCAGCTTCCGTCGGGATTCAACCAACCCGAAACAGGGCAAGGTTGAAGATTCTTTGTTTGGTTTTTGGGTAACCACATCCGTCACTTTTTTGGGGGTTGAAGTCACGTTATCAATAGCTTAAAAGAGTTTTACCCAAATATGGTTTGTACAGCAGTTTGAAGATCGATTCAACCATCCTTTTCCCTAATATTAAATCCCGGGCGCTGATTATGGGAATGGTAGATAACTATGTATGTGCGTATGAACAAGAATTATGTAGAGATATGCAAACAAGTTGTAAGTCTAGATGCGGCATGGACGCTGAAAAAAATACGTTTGAACGTCTTGACTTGTTGTCTTTGCATTCCCAAGGTCTCCAGAAACCATTTTTTTTTTTATACAGTTGCAGCCACAAACGACATGACAAGTTTTTTTTTCAGCATACAAGAAACACATAGCACATGGCAAAAAACACCGTGTGCAAAACAGCTTTCTTAACAAACGTACAATGAGGGTCATCATCCCTGCAGGGCCCCCAAGGAGGATCCTTGGTGCCCCTGGGGGTGAGGCACAGCGTGGGAGGAGTGCGCAGAGTGACTGGGTGCCCAGTGGCGGAGAAACCAGCGGATGGGTAGACAGTGCTTTTTTTTACATCAATTAACAACAGTTATCTGTTGTTAACAATAGTTCAATAATGTTCAATATAGTTATTTCATGTTATTTCATGTTATTTATACATTCGAACATTTTCCACCTCTCATTCTGAGTGAATGGTGGCCGATGAAACATTGCCACATTCCAAGGAACAGCCTGGCCTGAGTCTCAGTGCCGTCATCTGTCATCCCGAACTGGAAGCATACCATTGACTGATTGGTGATTGTAAATTGCAAACAAACATATGGATCTGAAATGGTGCAAATGGTGATTCAACGAACAGTTGAATAACAAGGTGTATATTCAGCCAATAGTGATGGGGAGAACAATGGAGACATCTTCTGTGTCCATCTCCGCCTGGGATGATGATCCAAATGGCTGATATTTTTTTGGATGGGCTGGATGGGTTCAAACATTTCAAACCATCAACCAGTTGAAAAATCCCTTCTGGTTTACGATGGGTGGCTCTGTCATTTGTTGGGCACGGAGACTTGCAGGCTACAAGGTTCATTGGAATTGCGTGTGTGAAACGCTTTGGTTTTTGACATTGAACTCTTCCCAACGATCAATTCTTTCAACATTACAAATATAATTCTATGTTCTTCATATATCCTTTTTCAATCAGTGTTTCTGAATTTCAACTCCAAATCACAAGAACACACCAACAGTTTTCGGCATCTCAGGGTCGGCGGCCCAGCGTGTGAGCCTCAGTTGATGACTGTGAAACTCCAGGAAGATGAAACCTGTTGAGCAATCTTTGCACGGAAATGTATTACACATGCAACCAAATGTAATCCAAATGTATATTATGAGTATAAGAAATACAAGTACTGTATCTAATATACTGTAATATACTGTGTGTATATATATATATATATGTATTATAATATTATCTATAACCATGATGCCCAGGGACCAACTGATGATTACATTTTCTCCCAGGGTCTACCTATTTGTGTTGATCGAATGGCACCAAAAAAACTACCCAGCCAGCGCCAGCGATGTGGCGTGGCCCAGATGTGCCGATCGCCCATCATCTTCTGCAAACATGTTGAGGGACATCCCAGTCAGGCGACGGCCTGGGATGGCTCATTCCAAAATTGGCTGAGCAGCTCTCCAATATTACCATATACCCTCTGGTTATTCAACATAGCCATGGAAAATGGCCCATTTATAGAAGGTTTACCATGGTTTACCTATCAAAAATGGTGATTTTCCATGGCTATGTTGGGAACAGCTTTTCTTCCGACGTCGGCAGATGTACGAAATGGGAGAGCAGATCGGTTCCGGCACCTTCGGAACGGTGTGGAGAGCAAAGCACTCTCAGCCGGGGACTTAGTTCGCTGAGGGAATGCCGAGGAAATTCACAGTTCCAAGTGCCAAGGACTGGCCAACTTCATGCGGTTGGCTGCTCAGACAAGTGAAACATGTCATGAACTATCGGACTTTGTCATGACAGATGTTGTGATGTCATGACAGATGTCTTGAAGCGTGTGATGAACCATTTCCACTAAGATGTCAACGAACTGCCTTCGCCATACCTTGTCTGTTGATACCTTGTGACAGGTAAAGAGCTGCCCCAAAAAGCTCATCCCCAGCGACGAGTTGTGGGTTGGGTACCCTGGTGAGCCCTGGTGGAAGTCAGTTTTGTGTGAAGTTCCGCATTTCTTTTTTTTTGGGAGGCATTCCTGGTTTTCTCTGGCGAGATTGGAGCATCAGACAGTTTCTGACGCCAAACACATGTGGAAGGGGAAGCTGTGCTGAGGTGGGAAATTGCAGGCCTAAGTACCACAGTCTTCGGTCATTTTAGGGTAGTACTGTAGCACGTAGTAGTATAGATTAGCAAGAAAGATCAAGGCATCCAACTGTTGCCGTGTCCAAACCCTTAACTAGCCAAGCTTGAAATTCGTCACAATTGACGACCTTCACATTTTATTGAGGCCGAGATCGAGATCATGAAACAGCTGGATCACGTTGTCTCCTCAAAGATGTGACAGACCAGCGTTTCACAAACGGAAACGAAACACCCCTTGGCTGAAACATATCTGAAACATATCCCCAGGACAACATTTACAAATTTGGATCATTGCCAGCTTCAACTATTATCACTAGTATTAGAAGTGAACTTACAAAAGCACAGACTAATCATAATCAGAGCTGTTACCTTTCCATTTTGGTCGAGTGCACTTAGTGCACTTGCCCAATGACGCCCAGCCTCACATCATGCGGCTGTACTACACCTTTGAGGATGACCTGTCCGGCTTCCAAGACTGAGGGCCTGGCTGATGAAAACAGGTTCCAAGTGGCACATATTTTTCAGGTGGGTCAGGACCCGTCAGAGGGAAGTCCTGGCACACCTGCTTGTTAGACTCACAGCTACTACTAGTTACTAGTAGACAAAAGGAATGATGCAGATGCACAACAGTATCTATACGTATGTATAATTATGTATATAATATATGTAGATATACACATGTAAAAGTTTATGTATAGTATGTCTATTGCAAGTTTTTTTTTTTTTTAAATTGGAATCCCAGTTTGTTTTACAGCTCGCAGTTGATCATTTTGGCACCAGGTGCATCTTCATTGCTTCGGAGCTCTGCGAGGGCGGCGAGCTCTTCAATGCCATGATTGAGGACAGATGACCCGACCTGCCCCCGGGACCCAGCATGGATGCTGGACCCCAACGACCATAAACAAAAATCATATTGTTGCGTATGAAACCACTTATTTTGTGAATGGAATATCATGGGATATGATTGGATTTGAAAGCGACGGCTTCAATTGGGCTTGTATGAAAGTGATGGATTTAGACAACAACATAGGGATCCTACCATAAATAGGGAGTTAATCAATGATGAATATGGGAATATGTCTGAAAACGGAAAAGAGTAGGGATAATCAACCATTGTATGGGGATTGATTATGATTTATTGAATATATATATATATATATATGTATGTATATATATATATATGTACGTATATACAATATAATATAATGATCGGGTGTGTCTAAACATGTCAATTAAAAATGGGCCATTAAAGATACCAGTATCTATGTTGATGAGGGAAATATTGACCGGTTAGTCCATAATAGGGACATGTATTTACCAACGAACCACAAAAGGGTGGACATTTTAAGGATCTGAAAGCATCCATTTTGGGGCCATTTTGCAGAAGGACACTAGCTCGATTATGCAGAGATGATTGAATCTGATTGGAGTTGCTGGAGTTCCCCTATGGATCGGGATTTTGAACGTTTAGAACGATGATTTTTTGGTATCCCATAATCCCGATTTGCAGGCTGGTACCTTCAACGAACACACTGCTGCCTTGCTCTTCAAGCAGATCATGCCCGGGCCCACAGCAGATTCGAGACCTTTGAGTCCTTGAATCGCCAACGTATGGCATGTGAAGTGCAACCTCTAAAAGTTGTTTTCACATACTCTACATACTCTACATGTGTTTCTGCTTTCCTTTTTCGTGCTATCCAATCTATCCAGACTTTTTGGAATCGAGGAAGATTCTGGCACTTTCTCGAAGAAGTTTCTGTCTCTTTCCCTTGTCTCCTTTGGACCCTTGCCTGCGGAGCGCCTAGGAGTGCTGTTTCCTACATCCACATGAACATGATTTGTCATCGAGACTTGAAGCCCGAAAACTTCCTCATCTCCAAGAAATGTGCGATTCAGGTGAGCCCAGCTCTTTTTCGGATGGGGGATGGCTTTGGGAAGGTGAAACATGGTGAAACATGGTGAAAGTGTCTGCCAGATCTGCCAGGATGGGAAGGTGAAACTCATCGACTTTGGAACTGCGAAGCGCTTCGATCTGGGCCCCTTGACCACCAAGGCCTGGTGACTCCGGATCTCTGACTCTGATGACTCGTCGCTCACAGACAGGTTTGCACGGTCCACTACGTGGCACCGGAGGTGTTGAAGAAGAGTGACATACTCAGTCCGTGTTTGTTGAAAGAGCAAGTCTCCAAAGTCTTTGACCTGTCACACAAAAAGTGTTGTTGCTTTCGGGAATTGGATTGAATATAATAATTCGTTTTTGATTGTTTTGGAATACTCTTTGTTTGATTGTGATGATAATTTTGTTTGATGCGTTTACCGTGCTAACATCTTTTCTTTGCAAGGCATTTCACTTTGCATCAAACAACCTTGAAATAGATTGAAATGCAATACAGTGACTTTAGCACATTTCGAACATTTTTCAGCATTTTTCAACATATTTCATGAAGGAATTGAGATTTCAAGCAGGGTTGGTTGTTAATTAAAAGTCTCAGGGATGGAGCCTTACACAGAGAAAGTGGACGTGTGGTCTGCTGGCGTCGGGAAACCCAGCTTTCGCCCTCAGCTCATGATTTTTTCTCATGCCTTCTGGACAAGTATGGGATGGTATGGTTCATATGGTTCAAAATTGTCAACCCTCAAAATAGATGGTTTAATCGGTTTAGTACACCACAGATCGCACTTTTAGTGGGCCCATGGGTAGCAAAATTTGACCAAGAAGTGTATGATAGTGTATGCAATTTTAGTGATCACTCCGTTTATGTCGACATTAGCCCCAGGTCGTACTCTTTGTCATGTTGGCTGGTGTTCCACCCTTCCATGACGATGATGACTTGGAACTCATGAAGAGGGTGAAGAAAGGGTTCGGAGCCCAGGGGTCACGACGGTTCCAGATGGTTTGAGACACATTCTTCGGTAATCATTGTTCACTGAGATTCAATGCAGTTACAGGCAAACTAGTAACTAGATAAGACAAGACTATCAGAAAACTTATCCAATTTGGACGGTGTGGATCCTCAATGTCCCAGCACTTTCCAAGAATCCGTGAAATGGGTTCGCGCATATTTTAGATATACCGTTTTGCTCTGCTCTGTTTTGCTTGGGCTGTCACTGGGTTGGCAATGCCATCCCTCTACTGAAACCTGGGCTGAAACAAACTTCATTAAACCTGCTTATCTTGCTTTTGATGTCTGGGAATATGGAGTCGCCCATGTCAAGTTCATGCCCACTGCAGTTAGCCAGGAAGCATCAAACACCTGGGTAGCAAGGATAGCAAGGTCCCTGTTCAGCGTGTATCCCCACTGGACCGCAGGAAGTGGTCCTTCACGCCAGAAACAGCTTGGAACAAAGTCTCTGCACTGGGCAAAGAGCCTGAGCCCCGGAATGGGTGACATCATGCTTCACAGTGTCATAGTTCGAATGTGGTTTTCAGACGATGCTGGAACCTCAAGAATTCATGAAATCCAGATTTGTTCCCTGCCCCTTTGGTAGAGTTCCATCATTTGATGCTCACATTTTCAACATTTTCAACGGGGTGCCTGGGGAAAAAATGTAAAAAAAGTTGATTCAGTGAAGTTTTCTAAACTAATATCATAGCAGTATAACAAATCAAAATTTATTCATTACAGTCCAAAAAGCCAGTTTATATATTGTTAATGGCTTCATTTTTCTCAACAATATCAAAACATAATTACCTCATTCAATTTTTAAAAATCATAGCAGTCAAAGCATACTTACCTCATTCAATTTTTCAAAATCATAGCAGTCAAAGCATACTTACCTCAGTCAATTTTTCAAAATCATAGCAGTCAAAGCATACTTACCTCATTCATTTTTTCAAATTCATGGCAGTCAAAAGCATTATGACCTTATTCATTTTACAAAATCCTATCCATCAACCGTTCCTAAATTCCTTTTATGCTTCTCTGTTTTTAAATGTCTTGAATAACATTGTGCCTTCATTGATGAATTACATACATTACAAAAGGCAACTTTATCACGATAGTTTTGTATTTGTTCCTGTTTTTTTTCTATATTTTTCATCTTCTTTATATTTAGTTCTTCGTGTTTCATTCACTTTATCTTTATGTTTGTCATAGTTCTTTCTCTTGTATTCCAAGCATGTCTTACAAGTCTTCAATCCATCTTCAAAATTATCAATTGGTAAATCTTTAACACAGTATCTACAAAATTTATCCATTACATATAAATATGATTATCTTCTTAAATGTCTTTTCCAAGAATTCCTATAACAACCAAAAACAAAAACAAACCAAGCGAAGAACAGCATAAAAAAAACAATAGACAACAATAAACATTATTCCCTACCCTTTAACTACCCTATCTTACAAATCCATAATTATAATAAATAAATATTATTAGAAATATGTTAGTAGTAAATATCTTCAATAATTATCAAGTCAAAATGAAATGCTTGTATTCCTATTATACTATCTTTATCTTGGTCTTCTTCTATGTCGATATTTATTTCGTCATCTGCTTTATTCAATACATCTTCTATATTATCTTCATCTACATATTCATCAAAGTCATGCATGAAGTAAATTTCTCTATAACTAAATTCATTGTCTCCATATTCTTTATCTGGGAGTTTTGCTACTATTTGGACTTCAATATCAAGTTTAACTCTAAAATTTTAAATTATCTTCTACTTCTTCATAAATCAAAGATAGTAATTCTTCTTTTTCTTCTGTTATGATGTTTCCTATACTTTTTAAACCAAATGGCACTCCCTCTCTCACAATACAGTATTCAATTACATATATTTTTTTCTTGGTTTCAAATGTCTTGTTATTTTAGGACCAAATCTTGATATTTTATGTTTGTTCCGTATTCTCTTCAATGCTTCACTATGCTTTATTGTCAAATATTTAGGGTCTCCAATTTTTTAAGGAACGATCTTACGCAACGCATCAACAGGCAAACCCTTCATACAATTCGTCTTATAAAAACTTATATAAATAACTTAGTCTTTCAGTATATATTCCAAGATTAAAATGTAGAATTCTTTGAAAAACTACTTAAAGATAAATTAACTAATTAAAATATATACTATTATGATGAAAAAGGTTATAAACTATTTATTGAGTAATGATTTAGCAGAAATACCAAAACGAGGAAGAAGAGAATTAAAGTCAATAATAATAGATGATAAGAAATTCAGATACAACAAAGACAAACCAATATCTAGTGTCTTAACAAAGAAACTACTGACGGTCAAGAAAACTAATGAATACAGAAGTTATGCTTTAAACAAGGCAAAAGATGCGTTCAGTGAAGGAAGAGTGAGACAAATGATAACCAAACACGCAATCAGAAATAAATTTAGGGTCAGAGATATTCAATCAGCATTTAGAAGATACGCTAATTCAATAGTTTTAGAAAATAAACATTTTCAAGGAGAAAGGGGATTAGAAATGATTGCGCACTAAAAACAAAGACTATCAGATTTTTTAAGAAATAATAGAAGCATGAAACTTAACATAAGAACGGAAGGATTATTTGAAAAACCTCAATTTGATGATGGAGGAAATGAATTAGGAAGTCAGGAACTTGTATATGCCCTACCATTAACCCGCTTCAATATTAGTAATGAGGATGAACTGACGCAAGCATTAGAAGACAGTGTTAAACAAATCTTATTACAAATACAGAATTTAGAAGCATCAGCATCCAATTTAAGATTTAAGAAGATTTTGACAATAACCATTCACTATGACACATATGACCCAACAAGAGCAAGATGTTTCTTATATACCTTTTCTGATTGAAAGGGATTTAAACAATGGTGGCAGTAAAACTTTTTATTTGTGTTGCTACTGCTTTGACCGTTTAATAATCTACATTTATTTTTAACTAATACGTAGTGATAACTATTATCTTCATCATAGATTTTTAGTAAATCAATTTCGTATTTAGCATTTCCATTTTTAGTGCCTCTATGCAATATAATCTCATTATCATTTAAGCAGTCATCGGGTTCAAACACATTTATTGAAACTGATTTATTGTTCTCTTCAAATCTGTCAATGTCCCTATTGCCAGTTGGAAAAAGTACACCATCCCAGTTCAAAATATCATCTTTCAGTTTATTATAGTGGAACATTTCCTCTGGGTGGTGTTTGCTTATTTTGTCATAGACTACGGATTGAATACAATATTTGAAGCATTTTTGGTCTCTGTTCTTTATGTTGATACATGCCTTTTTTAGCTTAATCCATTCAGGTAATTCTATGTAAACTATCGTGATAAAGTTGCCTTTTGCAATGTATGTAATTCATCAATGAAGGCACAATGCTATTCAAGACATTTAAAAACAGAGAAGCATAAAAGGAATTTAGCAACGGTTGATGGATAGGATTTTGTAAAATGAATAAGGTAATAATGCTTTTGACTGCTATGAATTTGAAAAAATGAATGAGGCAAGTATGCTTTGACTGCTATGATTTTGAAAAATTGACTGAGGTAAGTATGCTTTGACTGCTATGATTTTGAAAAATTGAATGAGGTAAGTATGCTTTGACTGCTATGATTTTTAAAATTGAATGAGGTAATTATGTTTTGATATTGTTGAGAAAAATGAAGCCATTAACAATATATAAACTGGCTTTTTGGACTGTCATGTTTTTTTAATGAATAAATTTTGATTTGTTATACTGCTATGATATTAGTTTAGAACACTTCACTGAATCAACGGTTTTTTTTTACATTGTTTTTTTGGGTTTTTTTGGGGTGCCCGGGTGTCACCGGGGTGCCCGCCTGTCGAGGCTGGTGAGCCAGATGTTGACCAAAGAGGTGGACCTGCGACCGCATTCCGCCGAGGTCCTTGCCTCGCCTTGGTTCCGGCAGGAGGCGCCCGGGGGTGTGGTTGGCCCAGACCAGAATCGGGTGATGTAAAGTTATACATATGTTTATACAATTATATATATATACCAGTATATATATGTATAAAGATATCCATATCTTGTCAATGGCAAACTGTCCAGCCTATTCCAACCTTGGGGTGCACAGCGATCGCAGTATCTTGAGTTGATTTTGGGGTTCACTTTATGCACTTTTGGGGTGAAATGATCCCAGAGATCCCCAGATCCATAGCCGGCCATAGCCTGCCGAAGCAGATTTCGAAGGTGATCCCTGCGCACACCAAAGTCGACGTCTGGACCTCGGCGGTCCTGAAAATCTGCCAACCGAGACGGCAGCATGCGGCAGTGCCACGACGTTTTTCAACGTTGCGTGCGGCAGGGCCAAGGAAAAAAAAAGGATTCCAACGAATCATGTTTTTGATGGTTTAAATGGCTTTCAGACAGAAAGAAGAATCCAACTTTCCAATGAGTTTCAGAAACCCATGCAGTCACCTCCAACATCCTTCAACTATATTCCACTTCAGCGACGCTTTCTGAGCTAAGGAACACAACCTAGCACAGATGCGCACCTTTGCAGCTTGGTCGCAGAGCCGGGCACTCCATGGTCTGAAAACAAGAGGTTTGCATTTGGTCGGGATATTCTTGGCCACTATTTTAGTGCCATTATGCGCAAATGACACCACCAATTACTTTAATAAATGACTTATATATATCTATATGAAATCAACATATTGTATGAATCAGCAGCATATTTGATTTTTTTTTTCAGATGCAGCAATACAGCGGACATGTTGTATCTCAGTTTTGGCTCAACAACTCTATCAGTTTCCCAGTTTCCGGCTCGATTTTTCGCCCGAGCAGCTCAGGTAGCCCAGAGTCGCTTGAAAAAGGTGGCCTTGCAGGTCATTGCGCGGCAGGCGGGGTTTCCTGCTGTCTGCGGTGATCTCCGGTGGCCAAGAGTTGGACTAACAGGGGTTAGTGCCCATGTTATCCCATTATATATATATATATATATGGATTTATATGGAATATCCAGTGATGATGTTTTACTGTGTTTTATGATGTTCTATTATGTTCTATATACGTATATATCATATTTATAAAAGACGTTCGATTGTACACCATTGGAATGATTCTCTAAGATACCCATGATAAGGATTCCCATCTTATTAAACATATATTGAAATGTATGGGATACGCTAAAACATAGGATTCCCATCCTATCATATATATATATATATTAACAAATCTATTAACCCACACATTCCCATCATATTAAGCACTTCAGGGGTGACCATAGCCCCGTTCCTCCCACTGTTTGGGAAGCCCGGCAGATCTCGGACGACACCATCGAGAAGCTGCGACAGATCTTCTTGTCGTTGGACGATGACAACTCGGGGACCCTGTCCGTTGGTGAGCCCAAGTTTTTCGGGGGAAGCTCTGCCCAGTGAGGGAACATACAAATTTATGGGATGTTATGGGATGTTGTTGGTGAAGCCACAAAGATGTAGGTCATTGAAGAAACCTCAGAGTTGGGTGAAAAACATGGATTTTATGGATTTTCCCATGGATCTTTTACCATGGATTTTTTTCCGATTTTCCAACAGCCAAATGTGGATGGTTTCCACACGACTCCTCTAGGTGGAAGAGATCGACGAGGCCTTGGAGCGGCTGGAAGTAGAGGAACCCATTCGGGTGGAGATGCGGCCAGGGCCCCTGAAGTTCCCTGAAGCTGTGACATCGACATCGAAACCGTTTGAGTTGATTTTCAGATATTTTATCTGGTTGGTGGTTTGGAACATTTTTTTTCTCCATATAATATATTGGGAAGGTCATCATCCCAACTGACTTTCATACTTTTCAAAGGGGTAGGTATACCACCAACCAGTTATGATATTTTGAGATACTTGGACTTACACCAGCATTGATGTGTGCAAGTAGATACCCGTTTCCTCGGGCGCTCAGGCGATTGATGCACGAGATTGATGTGGATGGCAGTGGGACCGTAAATTATACAGAGCTCCAGTCTTAGCTTGGCACAAAGGGTCAGGTGATCATTTCGTTAGGTTTGACATGATATGACATGATATGACATGATGATGATGGGGTTGTGCTTCACATTTTTGACACAGCGGCAGATGGTTTTACTTCACGTGAGGTTTATTGCAGCCAATATCTCGAAGAAACAGTACCTCCAGGAGCAGGTGTGCTCGCTCCTCAGTTCTGAATTGTTTATGCACTGCAACTGGTGGATCCGATCCGATCTGCAAAATTTGGTCCGCAGCACCTTTTTGGGCCGAAAAGGATCAGTGCCCGAAGCGCGAGCGCGAAACTGTGCCATGAAAGTCTTGGTGAGTTCCATGTCATGGTCTGGAGAAGTGGAATTGGAGGACCTTCACCAAAAAGTCATGCTCATTTCGTCGTAGAAGGCTGCTACGTGCAAAAACTGACCTTTGAGACTGTACCTTGAGATGCCTTTTTTTGACAGAAAAGTGCTATCGTCAGGGTCCATTATGAAGTACGTCGCCAGTTTTATCGATTTTATAGTGATTTTCCCTGGTTTGTTAGATGTTCGTCCGTTCCACGTGGCTGGACTGGGTTAGGGAAGCTGGAAATGGTGAAAGGGAAGTTGTCCGACCTCTTAGGGTGTCCTGCCGTTCAGCTGACTCTGTTGATAGGCGGGGTGTCCAACTTTGGGACTGTGCATATATTTGTGTGCAGACATGTGCAGACAACATCCCACTGCACTTACATTTGTATACATTTGTCAGGTCAGCAAACAGTAAAGATAACTTAGGCTACACAGGTGTGACAGGACTAGTCACGCACACAAAAAGTGGACAGTTGCATGATGCTTCGTCCAAAGTCGTGTTCTGGAAACGAAATGGTTTTGCTTCCCTTCACGCCGCCTTTTTTATACACCAAAAACATGCATCCATCCCCGGCTTGTTAGAGATTCTCAGAGAAAATTGACAACTCTTTGGAGGTTTCTGGTCCCAACTCTGACCCACCAGATGTTCCATGGCAGGTACTACCCCCTGGTCCGATGACAAGCTGCTGCGGGAAGTCTTCAGTGGCTCTGATGGTCAGATGCCGACCCTCTCTGTGATCAAGTCAGAAGGCTGGGTGCCCTTACGAATGCAGGCCTTAAAGGCAAAGGTGGCAACTTGGATGCAGAAACAAATGGAGGAATACGGGGGTTTGGAGTTAATGGTGTTGTTGCTAGAAAGCTACAGATTGAATCTGTATTGGCTATGATTGGCTTGTACTGGTTTTTGTCTGAATTTCGAGACCTATAGGATTCAAAGCTTTGCATAGCTTTGCTGCCAGCCCACAACTCCTCAAAGTTGAAACTATTTATTGTTTAGAAGCAGGAAGCGAATAATCGACTACATAGCATGAACATCAGTAAAATTCATTCGAACCGTGAATTTCATTACAGAGATATCATGAGTATCATGAGATATCCATGGTTTTTCTATGTTTTTCTTTGCACATCATCGCTCTCTCAGGAGAAGCGTGGCAAGGTCCAAAGCGACCCGGCAGAAGGTGGGCTCTCCGCTGATGCCGCGCTGCCGGAGGGGCTGGAATTCCCCAGTGCCTTGCGGTTGCTGCTGCAGCACGGGGCGAAATGGACCTTTGGGGCGGAAGGGATTCCACCCCTTTGTCTATACGCAGCCACCAGGGAGGTGGGCAATGACATCTTTGGAGATGAGGAGAGCCTCATGGTGGTGAACTCATGCACAATTTCATACAATTTCGCTGTCAGTGCAACTGTCAGTCTGCCAGTCACTCCTTGTGAAACGGGCGCCTGCCTGAGGAGTGCAAAGCGGATTGGATGGAGGAACATGGGGAAGATAGCTGTGCTGGCGATGACTGGATTTGCATTGGGGAGTCCTCAGAGTTCGCTACTTGCTTGTGCAAGCAAAGGTATTCTTTGTCGCTCTAAAGTGTTGGTTTATACTTATTTCTTATTTAATGTATTTCTGTATTTCATGAAAGTTGGAGATAGTTCCTTTATGTTCCTTTGTTTTCAGCTTCTAGTTTCGGAGCTGTGATGTGATAGTTTATGCAGACATATCAATGACAAGCCACCCTGCAAGTATTCTTAACTTGTTAACGAGTCCAGTGCAAATTATCCTTGTACTAGTAGATGTTTGTAGGACTTGAGGTCTGCCCAAATAGGTGCATCGCAAATATTCCTGATCATCGAGTTTGGAGTCAGTCTTCCTGTTTGGTAATCAGAAGAAATTGACAAGGATGACCGGTTGAGTGCGTTTGAGTGTCTTTGTGCAGATAGATGTACCATGATGTACCCTCCAGCAAAGCGACGACCACTTCCTCACCATATCCTCATTGTTTTTGGCATATTGAACCATATGGGTCACGTAATGGTCACATGAATTTCGGACGATTTACGTTTGTGATATGATAGGGAAAAAGGGGAACACACTATAGATACTTATGGAATCTTATAGGTGCCTGTAGTTACATGTATTTTAGGGACTTCCAACTATTGCACAAGCCCACATGGATTCTTGTGAAGCCCAGGATTACTTCTTTGTCAATCTGCGGAAAACTTCACCAAACTTTGGTATGGTGAAGCACATCGTGAACAACTGTGATGAGGACCCCGACGTGACTTAGATTTCACGCAAGCTTTGTTTCGTTTCACCGTTTCACCACAGAACTTCTGGTCCTTTCTTTTGGTGAAACGAATCATGGGGCGTAGCCGCGGCTACGACGTACCGGGGCAGTTGCTGGTTCCTCAGGAGACGGGATTCTCAGAGGCGCCCTTTGATCGCTTCTTGGACATTGTGGAGAGCTTTGCAGAGCACCAGGCGGAGATGATGAATTCATGCAATATATACTGCACATATCATAATAGTTGATTAATAGTAACAATAATAATAATAACAATAATAATAATATTATATATATATATAATATGTATGGATAATTATGGAGAAAAACACAGTAGATGATGGGCGTAGATAATGGTAGATGATGATAAATGACAATAAATGATACATGACGATACATGGGATATGCTGAAGGGATTTCTTGGGTTCATCACCATTGATTTGCTATTATTTTGACATGCTGGTTGCTGCAGCACCCACTGAGTTTCTCTTGCTCCGTGGACATAAATGGGACCTATAAAAAAATGACTGGAGTCCGACTCGAGAAATCAGTTGCTCCAGGCCGTGGATGAGGATGATTGTGAACCATTGCACTCCTTTCAGTTCAGAGCTCTCCAGGCCAAGAAGAAAAAAAGACTTGATGTGGCAAGTGTGGCTCGGGCGCAACCTCACATTGATTAGACATGAATTGACAGCCTCAACGGCGCGAGGACAAAATGGTGCTGGCCTTCGGGAGCGCAATTTTTACCAACAAGAAGGATCCTGAAAATACATGAAAATACAAATTCCGTTTATTTTTTGGAATGATGCACGGGCTGTGCACTTGCAACAAAAAGTTGAACAAGGCTGCAATTCAGATTTAAGAAACTAAATCAACATGAGCCAACCCTGGATGGTCCGGCTTAGAAAAGAAAAAACACTGCCAGCACATGTTATTCTCATGATGATGCTTAGATCCTCGGTGGATGTGCGGATATCAGAGGGTCTGTCGCCCAACGACATTGCAGAGAGTTGGTCAGGGGCATGATTTTGCTGTATAACAAGGGATGCCTGATTGCCGTATATTACCGTAGATGAGATGTAGCATAGACTTCCGTGGTTGAAGTCTAGGAACCTCATGTTGGTATTTTGTTTCTACGGCTTACCCCCAAAAAACACAATAGTGGACGCCATCAAGACGATTGTTGTGTGATCCGACCATCTAGGTGTGGGGAGGAACCAGACGATCACTAACATTGAAATAGGCGGACTTTGGACCGGTATCTTACTGTACTATACTGTACCATTCAATCAGCTCTATTTACAACATACAACAAATGCACGGATGATCTAAACTTCAGGACTGGCAGAAGTTTGGACAAAGTTTCGAGATTAATTGAAGACAACGCACACAAAACCCGAAAGGTTCAGCTGTCACAAAAGTTACTTTCAACATCTTTCAACAGCGAATAACAGGTGTTCACACATCCATTATATATCATTATATAGGTATGGATCAATACCTATACATACCATTTTTAGGGGGATGAACATCCATTTACCAGCTATTTTGATGTTCACCAGGGGGATAGGGTTTTGACCCATCCCCATATATCATTTATATAATATCCATGAACTCTAGGTGTTTCCATGCTGCGTGTCTCCTCATTTGGAGCCTGCCATGCTGCGAATCCAGTCGGCGTTCTCCGGCGCTGACGTGGCCCGCATCGCGGCAGAGGAGTTCCGGGACCTGGTCGGCGTCGACACGGGGACGGAGTCGTTGCCCCGTGGCTGCCGGATCCGACGACTCAAGCAGCATCTGCAGAGACATGTGGGAAAAGCCCGATTTCAACAGCAGCTCTTGTTGCAGGGTGAGATCTTGAAAGATGATGAGGAAGTGCAGCCGCCAGTGACTTTACAGCTGGCCCTGTTGCCTCTCTCTGAAGGGAAAGAGTTGTTGGAAGCTGCAAGACGAGAGGCGACTGTGTTTGTGCATGTTTGTGCCAACATTGGAAATCTCCCAAATCTCCCAAGCTCGTCAGATTCATCTTTCCACATTTTTGTTGATGCCTTTCTGAATAGACTATAGCCATGGAGAGTGTTTCAATGTGGCAAGGGGAAGGTATCAAAGAATGTGCCAGTGCAGTTGGAAGCGTTTATGAAATGCCACGGCCACATCGCCTGATTCACTCTTCAAACGGTTTGATCATTTCGCCAGGACATCGAATTGCTGGAGACCTTGCTCTTGCAACCTCAAGATCCAAATGCAGTGGGTGAAGCTTTGATGCAAAGTTGTGACTCTTTGGGTGCTGTAAAATGAATTGGACTCGGAGTGATATTGGGTTGGGCCTTTGATTTTGCATTAGTCCCGGAATGTGATGACAGGAACATTTACAGGACACACCTAAAATATCCTACAATGAGTGGTAAAAAGTAAAACCATGATTCCCTGCAGAGTCTGCAGATTTTCCCTTAAACCAATCCATTGAATTCAAGTTTAGGGTCTTGCTCACTATTGCGACACCATCCCCGTCACTGAGGACGCTGGAGAAACGGCGCTGCATTGGGTTGTGGAGCGGGGTGCCGCAAAGTGTTGCGGCTTGCTGATCGAAGCCGGAAGTCTCGTGGACCAGCTGAGTCTACCCCGATTTTTTGGTGGGGTAGCTCCTCTACACATGGCTTGCGACTTGTCCATAACACATCATAACACCAGACTTTGTGACTTTGTCCACAACACTTACAACTTATATATATATATACCAGGTATCTAACACCAGACTTTGCTGAACTTTTTCATGACCTTTTCCCTTCAAACCAATGAGAACTGCGGGTTGGCCCATTCTCGACCACCAAAACCTGAGGCCAACGTGGACACCTGGAAATCCTGCGAATGCTCCTGGCAGCCAGAGCAGACCCAGACCAGGCATCATGTGATGGTGGCAGGCCGCAACTGAGTCAGCAATCAGTAATGTTTCTATATGTTTCTATGAAGCGACCATTGTGAAGCATTAGCTCTCCGAGCTGATTCTTCAAGGGTCCCTATATTTTCCCGTGTTTTTGGGTGTGAAACATCATTTCTTGGCGTTGAAGACTGGTTGTATGGTATTACCCCTTCAAACGTGTATGCTTGGAGAGGAAGTGTACGGAAAATCTCAGGTTGAGCATCGCCTCAAGCCGCGGTCACTTGGAGGTGGTTCGATTGCTGCTGGATGCAGGTGCGAAACTGGAGCATTCGGGCTCTCATAGCAGTGGACATCCACTGCTGCTGGCGGCACAGCGAGGAAATTTGGAAGTCCTGAGAATGTTGATAGCAGCAGGACCTTGTTGAGATGTCCGTCTTACATGGGATCCTTCGTATCCTCAGGTCACCAATTCCTACCCACATATCTCACCTATCCTCAGGTCAAAATGGGCCAGGGAAAATTCGTCATAATTCGATAGTATTCCAACATTCAGCTGACAAACTGCAACACATCCTGGGGGTTCCATGATCACAGGAGCTGACGTCAACAGGGCAACGAACTTGGGCTACACTCCGTTGCTGGTGGCGACTCAACGAGGTCGGGAGCTGCACTTTGTTGCAACTGTGGTGACACTTTGCACCATAAATATCCATAAATGATCATAAATGATCATGGAATACCATGACACTTTGTGCATCTCTGTGCCCAAAGTTGTTGAGCATCACTTAGAAACCCACTTGTGTCAGATTGTGCTCACCCTGCAGGCCACTGCGAAGCGGTGCGTGTGCTGATCGAAGCAGCAGCCGATGTGAATCGCCGCACCCTGGCGGGCTCCTCTCCTCTGTACCAGGCCTGTCGCGATGGCACTCGGCACATCGCCCAGCTGTTGCTGACAGCGAAGGCGAGCATCCACAACACTTGGGACACCAGTCCCTTCATCGCTGCCTGTGTTGAAGGTCACCTGGACCTGGTGAAGCTCCTGCTGCGGCACTGCGACCAAGGCCACGATGGGCAGCTGGGTGCCCTGGCTCCTGCGGTGGCGACCCTGGAGGACCCTCAGCTGGTGGAGCAGGTGCTGCGGATGATGCGGAAGCGCAGGGAAGCGGATGACGAGGAGCTGGTGACTAGAGCCACTACCAGACTAAAATGTAGTTTCAGGAGGACTGGATGAAGACCCACTGAAGGCTGAAACGGATTCAAAGTGGATTCAAAAGTAGATCCAAACAGATTAAAAAGGAGAGTTAGACTTTGCTGGAAGGAATCAGTACTTTTGTGCTGATCAGAGGGAGTCGGAGCAGTGCTCCATGTCGGCGTTTGTAGATGGAGCAGCACCAGCGACACCAGAAACGTTTTGAAGCTGAGGGTCCTCTTGCAGAGGTGGCAGTTGCATGAAACACAGATGATCAAATTGCCAAAGGCGCACAATGTAAAGCTGGCAGCAGTGAAGAGCAATTCAGGATGGCCAATGGCTTGCCGTGCTTCTTGGACCTTAAATGGAATCTGATCTGGTTGGCGTATGTCGGCGTGACGAAAAGGATCGCGATCATTTAAGTTGCACATCGTCAAATGATCATGGACGGTGGAGGATGTGGTCCTCCCGTGAAGATATATACCACATTTTACTACGGCGGTTAGTTCTGATTCAATGACATTGAATTGCTGGCATTATATCTGCTGAGTCCTTGTCTGGCTGCACTTAGTGGAGGAAAGAGGCGGAAAGAGGGACAGACATGGTTCAACTGAGGCAAAGCCGCATTTCACATCTTCGATGTGAATGGTCAGATGCCAAGAGACCTGACGGCTTTAGCCGCAAACAACTTCAACCATATCTAAAATCTGGATTCCAACTTTCATATCTAAACAGGTCTGCACTTCACGCTGAGCATTTCACCAGGTCCAAAGTGCATGTAGAATCGCTGTGCATCCAAGGGGATGGATTCATTTGCAAAGACGACCTGGTGCCAGCTGGGTTGAACATGTTGAAAGATGGCATGGGAGTAGCAACAAAGGATCACAACAACAATCAGCTGTTGCTGGACTATGCTGGACTCAGGGAAGTTTCTTCTTGGTGATACACATTGACAAATCATTGACAACATTTCGAGGATTGAATCTTTGTGGCATGTTGCTTCGAAACTGTAGTGTGACATCATCTTGGAATTGAGACACAGTGAAAACAGGCGAGGTTAAAACCATCCTGAAAGAATCGATTCCCCATTTCCAGGGGGGTTCCAATTGGAAAAAAACACACATCATCTGAATCAAATCCAGATATTCACTATTAATCACTATTTAAAAAACAATCAATCACTATTAATCACTATTGATGACTAGCAAAATCCCCTTGCTGTTGTTGATCCCCAAATCATATCCCCACAATATCTGATGGATAGGTAAACCACAAGGTTGACCATTGTTATCATAATTTGGTTTATAAAGTTATTTAATTGCCAAGTTGACCAAGCTATTCTGATCCCCCCAGAAACCCAAAAAAGGTTGAGATGATTATTTTATAGCAATTATAAACCACAAGGTTGATCATATATCCCACCATTGCGTCAACCAAACTATTTGCATCAACTTAGCTATCAGTTTTATCAGTTTTATCATGTTTTATCGTACCATTGAATCCGATGAATTTATTGGTTAAATCTCATAACCATGTTCCTTTCCTCGGTGCTCACTCGTAAACACTATGAAAATCATTGTTAATGGCAATGGGATCTAAAAACACAGTGC